TACCATACCATACCATACCACATCACGCCATACCCTATCATACCATATCATACCATGCCATACCATACCATACCATACCATACCATACCATACCATACCATACCATACCATACCATACCATACCATGCCATACCATACCTGTTGACCAGCTTTATTTATAAAGCACTTTAAGCAACCATAGAACCAAAGTGTTGTACAGTTACAGTCCATAAAACCCAACAGCAGTCACCATACAATGTATGGTATGTATTTTTTTTTTAATTATGTTTACATACCATACCACAACATAACATAACACAACATAACACAATATAACACAACATAACACAACACACAACACACAATACAACAACACCACACAACAACACAACAACACCATACGTACCATACTATATCATGCGATGCCATACCATGCCATACCATACCATGCCATGCCATACCATGCCATACCATACCATACCATACCATGCCATGCCATACCATACCATACCATACCATACCATACCATACCAGCTTTATTTATAAAGTTCATTAGGCAACCATAGAACCAAAGTGTTGTACAGTTACAGTCATTAAAAAAACCCAGCAGCAGTCAACATACAATGTATGGTATGTATTTTTATTTTTTTATTTTTTTATGTTTGGCATACATAATAAAAAAAAAGTGTAAATTTCAGGATGTATTGTAAGTTTATGAGTCTTTTTAAAATAAAACTTTTTATGGTCTGTTTAGAAAACCCTTTTAAAGATTAAACATGCCATGTATGTTAAAGTTTAAACAATGGTCTTGTTCAGTCTGACAACACTCACTCAGAAAGTGTGTTGAGAGTGACTCTCAGCTACGACCACACCAACGTTTAGATCAAGATCTGTAATAATGACCTTTTTTGTGTTTGTTAAAGTTACTTAGTTGTGTCATCTTTGATCAGGTCAGCTCCAAAGTTGGAGCATAGGTTATGGATGACTCTCAGCTACTACCACATCAAATTTTAGCTCGGTTCACGCCAAATTGTCTAAACTTTAGCCAGTTTTGTGTTTACTAAAGTGGCTCAGCTGTTGCATTCATCTTAAATGGGGTTGCCTCCAAAAGAAAATCAGTTGTCGATGTTCATCTTTCTGGAATTTTTAAAAATTAAAATACACCCAGTAGTTCATGAGATATTGTGCTAACAGACAATCACACTCATAGAAACAATTACATTACAACTTTTTTTTACTGTCTGTTTTATGATAAACAGCTTTTTCATGCAGTCAAACAAAGAGTCAGTTCAAAGTGGAAATATTTACGCAAGTGACAACATCAGTTCTTCAAAATGGTTAGAAACCTTTCTCACTTCCATTTTCTGAGTAGTTCTGCCTTTGTATGAGACAACTGTGGCAGTTTACAACACCTAACCAGTTGGGAAATGGTTGCATGCGACACTGTGCTAAAAGCTGAGTAATAAATCGTAATCCCAGGTTGGTTGATAGGTTATCTACAGGGCTGTGTTTGTGGGTGAAAAGGGAGAGATGCTTTTTACGTATATGGCACTGAATGGATTTTTTCATGTGATTGCTATTTTGTGAATATGGGTTTTGCGGTCACAGTTTTATCATCTTTACCTGAATTTAGAGAATGGAGGTACAAAACAACTCTTTTTTTTTTTTAATAGAGATTGTAAATAGCTTTTAAATGGGCCTATTTTAATTAAATCAATTATTTTGATGCAACTGATCAATACTTAATAATACATTTGCACAATAGTAACTGATTGCGTGATGAATGCTAAAATAATACTTGTATGCAACAAGTTTCTTACTCAGTTTTAATTTGTATCAGGACATAAAAAGATGAAATGATTTGACGGTGTGTCCCACTTTCGTCACTAGTGTAGATAAATCCTTTTCAGTTCCCAGAGATCCAGGGGCTCAGCGTGTGTGTGTTGCTGAGCCACTCATTATGGTGACCTACTTCTTGTAGGTTTACAAAAGTGTTAGGTTCCACTGCAGGTGTGGGACTGGTCATCTTTTTTCAATCTTTTCATCACACACAGCCGAGGATGGAGTGATAACATTCTGTCTCTGTGTTTGTTTGTACTGTTAGCAAAATATCTCATGAATCTGGGGGTGGATTTGAATGTTGGAATTGGATTGGAAATTACATCTACAAGTGATTAACCTTTGGTAATCAAGCCCAGTCAAGATGGCCGCCACAGCTAAGACTTATTAAGAAACAAATAACATGTAATGCAGTTCATTTTACAGCTAAAATTTGATGTGGTTATTCCCAACACATACTCTGAGCACTGACTGATATCACAAGATGTTGATTTAAAGTTTGTCATTAATTAGTCAAAGTGACCTTCTTGTTAGCAAAAATCTTACGAACCACTGGACAGATGTTACTGAAACCTAGATGTACGCCTATAGCTCGTTTCAGCCTCAATAGGTCACCACAGCTAAATGACATTAACCAACACAAAACTGACTTACAGTGGTGCTTGAAAGTTTGTGACGCCTTTAGAATGTTCTATATTTCTGCAATTATGGGGAATTTTAGCCCGTTCCTCCGTACAGAACAGCTTCAACTCTGGGATGTTGGTGAGTTTACTCACATTAACTGCTCACTTCAGATCCTTCCACAACATTTGGATTGGCTTAAAGTCAGGACTTTGACTTGGCCATTCCAAAACATGACCTTTATTCTTCTTGAACCATTCTTTGGTAGAACAACTTGTGTGTTTAGAGTCTTGCTGCATGACCCACCTTGTCTTGAGATTCAGTTCATGGACAGATGTCCTGACATTTTCCTTTAGAATTCTCAGATATAACTCAGAATTCATTGTTCCATCAATGATGGCAAGCCATCCTGGCCCACATGCAGCAAAAAAGGCCCAAACCATGATACTACCACCAGCATGTTTCACAGATGGGGTAAGAATCTTCTGCAGCAATGCAGTGTTTTTCTTTTTCCAAACATGACGCTTTAAACCAAAAGTTCTATTTTGGTTTCATCCGTCCACAAAACATTCTTCTAACAGTTTTCTTGTCCACGTGATCTTTACAAACTGTAGACGAGCAGCAATGTTCTTTTTGGAGAGCAGTGACTTTCTCTTGCAACTCCGCCATGCACACAATTGTTGTTCAGGACTCATGAACATTAACATCAGTCAATGTGAGAGAGGCCTTCAGTTTAGAAGTTATCCTGGGGTTCTTTGGGACCTCGCCGACTATTCCACACCTTGCTCTTGGAGCGATCTTTGTTGGTCGACTACTCCTGGGGAGAGTAACAATGGTCTTGAATTTCCTCCACTTACACAATCTGTCTGACTGTGGATTGGTGGAGTCCAAACTATTTAGATGGTTTTGTAACCTTTTCAGCCTGATGAGCATCAACAACTTTTTTTCAGAGGTCCTCAGAAATCTCTTTTGTTCATGCCATGAAAAACTTCTACAAATATGTGAAGAGCAGACTTTGATAGATCCCTGTTCTTTAAATCAAACAGGGTGCACACTCACACCTGATCATCATCCCATTGATTGAAAACACCTGACTCGATTTCACCTTTAAGCTAACTGCTAATCCAAGAGGTTCACATACAGTATTTTGACCACTCACGAATATGTAATATTGGATCATTTTCCTCAATAAATAAATGACAAAGTATAATATTTTTATCTCATTTGTTTAAATGAGTTCTCTTTATCTACTTGTAGGACTTGTGTGAAAATCTGATGATGTTTTAGGTCATATTTAAACAGAAATATGGAAAATTCTAAAGCATTCAAACTTTCAAGCACCACTGCAATTTTAGATGTGGAGCTAAATTTGAGGTGGTAGTAGTGGAGTCATCCTTAACACATACTTCAAGTGCTAACAGATCATGCATATATTGTACAAGATCTGACTGAAACAGCTAGAACTCCATCTTTTCTCATTATAAAAGAATCTTAGCTTAAAACTCTGGCATGAAAGGCGGAAGGTGAAATGCAAGGAATTCCATATTGTTCATGTTTCCCTTGATCTTTGAACAACTCTAATATTTATTGTTCCCATTTCAGTCTTTACTTTCTAGAATTTGTCAATTATTTTACTCATGAGTGTTCCTCAACCTTACGACTTGCATCCTTGGGACTGTAGTGGCCTAAGGCGCTGGCTCAGCTGTGAGCCTATTAACTGCTCATCTTTAAATGCAGATGCCATCCAATCTCCTAAGGAGCAACGGTGCACGTTGCTCAAGATGGTAAACAACACGAGTCAACGCATCAATGTCTTAACTACAGTTCCAAGTGTTACCCTCCCCCGCACCTGTTAGCAGAACTAAAAAAGCATGGTTTCTTTTCCACCCCTTAAAAAGGTGCTCAGAGTTGTGCAAGTCCTTCTTTATTATTTACTAGACTGTTACAGTAAATTCTGTGTACATTACAAAAAGCAAACAGATCTCATTTCTTATATTTTATTTGAAGCTTATAGAACATCTGAACATAGAACATTTTAAATAGCTCACATAATTGGAATTATCAAAATACAATTAATACATTCTATGACAGTGATAGAGGACTATGTGTGTTATGTGCCATCTCAAGCGAGCAGTGGTTAAAGTAGTGTTAAGCGCAAGCTGAGATAGGGTGGCTGAGGCCACTGAAGTAGGAGATTTCCCGCTCACTCATGAGCTCAAAGTGCAGCGGCTGCTGGCAGAACGTGCACTCTGCTGAGGAGTGGGGCTTCAGGCCCAGACCCACCTCCTTCCATGTCTGCACCAGCCTCTCTGAAGAAGGGAGGAAAAACACATCAGATTAACAGAGAAATATACAGTGGCAGCAGGTTCTGTGCATTATTTTATTCAAAATCAACTTTAACATTAAATTTGATATAATCATAATAAACAATGATTTCTAATCATCAGCCTAACAGCTGATTGTAAGTGCACTAACAATCGGTCGTTAGGCTGATGGTCCTCCTTTTGCATGTGAGCAACTAGTTCTGGCTGTCACCAGCAAACTGGTTGATCCACTAAGAGAAGGTGCTGCTTATAAGACAGTTTGTTGCAGTTCCTCAGACTAAAGAAGTCTTCTGGATAAAAGATGAAACATTTCAACAAAGAACCCATACAGAGGGCCTGAATCAACCTTGTTAGATTTATCTATCTGGATTATTGAGCATGTATCAGGACAATTACTTCATATTTTAAGACTGCTTAATCGTCTTACCAACAAAGTATTTCATCATCTCTGGGGTGTGATGAGGAGTCGGAGCGATGCGCAGGAGCTCCTCTCCTCTTGCAACAGTGGGATAGTTGATGGCCTGCACATAGATGTTGTGGCGACTCATCATGATGTCACAGACCTCCGTGTTTTTCTCAGCATTTGCCACCTAAGATATAAAAACAAAACATTTAATAAAGTCATTAAGTTTCTATCATGTACAGCTAATTTGGCAGGTGTTTCTGTACTGGTAAGATTAAATCACCGCTTACCCGGATAGGGATGATGTGGCTGGGACAGTGCACAACAGGCAGCCCCGAGTCCATCAGCATTTGTCTGAGCAGCTTCACGTTACGCTGGTGTTTACGTCTCAGCATGCGACCTTCTTCACTTTTAAGAATCTGGATGGACTGCCTGGCTCCAGCCAAAAGCATCGGCGGCAGAGACGTGGTGAAGATGAAACCAGCAGCATAGGAGCGCACTGTGTCCACCAGTGCAGAGGTACTGGCAATGTAGCCACCCACACAACCAAAAGCTTTGCCTGTGGAAAGAGAAGAGATTAACGGCTATTCCCTGACTTAATGGCGGTTCTAAAGACACCATTATGAGTCTCCTGCTGAAACTTAAAACAAGATCTCAAAAACCAACAGCCTTCCTCACAGTGCAGCTACACAGCTGGTAGGAAATAATCATGCCCTCAGCTTGACAGCAACGCAAAGTAACTCAATAAGAGGGCAATGAGAGCCCCCAGTTTCCTAGCAACAGCAGAGCTGCTCCAGCTTCTTTAGGCTCCCAGGCATATTGAGTGACAGAACTGAGGTTTAATTCTCACAATGACAAAAAAAACAAGGTGAGTCATGATGACTGGGAGAGTTGGTTCAAAATGTAACTAAACTTAAAAAAAAAAATCCAGAAACCATAAAAGCATACTGGCACAACAACCCGTTTGTTTGGATTATTATCAGCTTAAGAATATTGTGGAATTGATTAAAAGACAAAATGCTCTGAACATTTGTTTTTCATGCTGACCTAGAGTTCCTGAAATAATATCCATCTTGCCCATGACGCCATCCCTGTCACCGATGCCGCCTCCTCTGGCACCATACAGACCCACAGCATGAACCTCATCTACAAAGGTGATGGCACCGAACTCATGAGCCAAGTCACACATCTCCTCTAGCGGACACACAGCACCTGTGACACAGAGATATGAGCACAAGGTCATATAAACAGTCTGTAACAGAAGTGGAGTAACAGTTCAAAGAATGCAAGTGCTTAGATAAATAAAAGATTAAAAAAAAAGGTCAAACTGACCATCCATGGAGTGGACGGTTTCAAAGGCCACGATTTTGGGTTTGGTGGGGTCTCCTTTCTGCAGCAGCTCTCGTAGATGAGCCACATCATTGTGGCGGAATATAAACTTTTTAGCACCGCTGTTCCTGATACCCTGAATCATTGACGCATGGTTGCCTGAGTCCGAGTAAATCTCGCAACCTAATTTTTTTGGAGGAAATAGTACATGAAAATGTGCTAACGTAAAAAACAAACAATAAAAAAATATACATAAAAAGTTTTATTTACCAGGTAGCATTTTAGCAAGGGTGAAAAGGGTGGAGTCGTTTGCAACAAAGCAGGAAGTGAAGAGCAGTGCTGCGTCCTTCTTGTGAAGGTCAGCCAACTCGTGCTCCAGTTCCACGTGAAACTTACTGGTCCCAGAGATATTCCTGGTACCTCCTGCCCCTGACCCATGCTTCTGTAAATTATCCCTGGACACAGACATCAATCAAACAAGAAAAATGTTATTCAGTGACTCAGAATGCCTTAAACTTCACTGTTAAAGTAATAAACATTAGTTCTGTAGATATAAGCTTAGAAACTAAATCAACAGGTATCAGAGGTGCATTGTAGTGTGCAGTACATGCTTAAAAGAAAAAAACCTTAATGGAAATAAATTAATTGAACTATAGCCAACTTATTCTACTATATTTACCCATAAACAAAGGGGTTAAAGACTTCTGTGTGTCAGGTTTCAGCTTTTCTTGTTCTATCTGAACTCTGTTCTCACAGTGGAGCAAAAGCTACAGAGCAATCAAGGGAAGCAAAGTAAAAATAAACGTTTGCCAAATTATATAACAGACCTTGACCAAAAAGCACTGGCTAAAATATTACCCTTTGTTGATTAGTATTCAAACTACATCTGTCACTTACATGATAGATTGCACAACTAAAGGGTGTCGACTCATTCCCAGGTAGTCATTGCTGCACCAAACAGACACCTCCCTTTTCTCCTCCAGAGAGCCTGTGAAGTCGTCAGCCATCGGGAAGTCAGTGGCCAGACGATTCACAGTCTTAAACACACGATATGTGTGATCGCTCTTCTTCTCTTCAATCTTCTTCTCAAAAAAGTCATCGTATTGGAAGCGTGACACTGTGACAAAACAAGGAACAAAAAGAAGAAAAAAGAAATTGCTCAACATGGTTCAATGTTTAAATTGTACAGTGATCAATAAGAGCAGCCTAAAAATTACACAAGACTTGGAAACCAAACAAAAAAACAAACATACTTCGGCTAAGCAAGTTGTCCTGCAGCAAGTGGGTGACCCTCTTAGGTTGCTGCTTCAGAAGAGTTTTCAATAAATTATTTTGTTCCCCATTTTTGGTAACATTGGCCAAGCACGGCTGCTTCAGTTGGGCTGGTATAACTTCTGAAAGAGGTTAAGAAAACAGAATGAAGTGTTAAGGAAAGTACACTGAGCTAACACTTAATGTGTAACAGCTCTTACCTTTCTGGACGGTGCGTACTTCCTCTACATCCTCCTGGAACTCCATGGTAACCTGACGGACCACACCACTGTCCTTCTGGTTCATCTCAGCAGCCAGGAAAGGGCACTTTGAGGCCACCACTTGGCCAGGTGGTGGCATGGGATGACCAGTGGGCAGCTTAGACTCAGCTTCCTGCTTAAGGGCTGTGAGAGAAAAAAAAAGAAAATATAGGCATTAAGTGCTTATATGCTACATGTCACAGTGCCACATGTATGCCTTAAAACCAACATAGCTGTAAATCTGCTAGTCTTTCCAATAATGGGAGACACTTTTCTTAATATTATGTGGCTGCTGTTAATAAAACCAGAAATTCTCAATCATACCATCACTTGCAGCCTTGGTGTCAGTGTTCTGATAGAAAGATGAGGAGCAAAGGGCCCGAGCCATTGAAGGGGCCATGGGTTTTGAAGCCAGCTCCATCATGATAGGGCATCGCTGAGCATATGAGACCAGAGACTTTTTGGATTGCTGGAAAAAGGCCTGGGGCATACCAGCCAAGAACGGGCAGCGACGCACGATCACATCCATTGCCAGCAGATGTGGTGATTGCCGACAAATCTAAAGAGATAGAAAAATAGATAAATATAGGACAAGTCAAGTCAAGTCAAGTCATCTTTATTTGTAGAGCACAATTTAAAACAGATAAACTGTTATCAAAGTGCTTTGATAACAAGGACAAGCTGCTACAGTCACATTTACTAAAATAGTAACTAATATGGGTCAAAATAAGAGTATAAAGGTTTTGAGAATGCTCGTTCTAAGAGACAGTAAGAGATCTTTGCAATCAAACTGTCTGTCTGAATCCCAACACAATTATGCTCTAAATGACTGTGTCTACAAAGATCTCTGAAAGGGGGCCATCTTTCACCTTTTATTTCTCTAAAAAACTTTCACTTCCCATTTTATGTGCATACTGGTGATGACATGGTAATAACAATAATAAACTTTTCTTAGTATTTACAATTTCTGAAACTATTCCTCGCCCCTTACCGTCTCCTTCCTAATCCAGATAATATCAGGTTTACACATTCCTGAACAGATTACTCACTCCCATTTTTTTTACCTCATTTATTCAAGAAAATCCCACCAAAGCCTGTAAAAATTTAGAACTGGAAAAATCCGGACTACAGTATAAAGATTATAAAACGTCAACTTATTATGCTACTTAATTGCGTGTTTTCGTTATAAATAAATAACTTTTAACGCGTTATCTCAAAAAGCTCAAATAATCACCACTCGTGTAATTAGAGAGAAGCTCGTGTCCCTACTGATTAAGGCATTTTAATAATATAACGTATATTTTAAGCCCCCACAATCTAATTTCTAACCACTCCAAAAAGTAAACAAATGTTATTAGACCATCATAATCTTGTCATTAGCTAGCGTCGGCGGCGACATCTTAATACAAAGCAGTTTTTAGTCCCTAAGTTAAAATCATAGATAACAACAGAATAATTTTATTTACAAAATACCCGGCTGTAAACAGACAGTTTTAATTTTTAGGAGTCTTCCGGTGATCTTTGCCGGTTGACCTCGCTCTGATGTTAGCTAAACTGCTAGTTAAAGCTAAGCAGTCAAGAAAAACAAGACTAAAAAAACCTACCTTTAAGATTAACACGGGATGGTATAATCCTTAAAGGTCGCGTAATAAGCAGGATAACAGCAAAGGCGCTGAATAAATCTAACACCCAGGAAAAAAGCCTTTTTTATTTTGAAAGAAGCGAAGCTTAACAGCACTTCGTTATCCTGCACTGAGGACGAACGAGGAGGACGAGGACTTCACCGGGTTTATAAATCCATACGCCTACGTCAAAGTCTCGCGAGACTTGATGAAATAACTTTTTTTTTATATTTTTTTTTTTTTTTTTTTTTTTTTAAAGAACTTTATTATGAACACAATTTACAAACAAACCAGGCAAACAGTGTAGTACAATATAATAAACAAATTTCACAGGTTGAGTTATTTACATTCAAAAGACATACAAGAAAAAAAATTAAAATAAATACATTAAAAAAAAAAAATAAATAAATAAATAAATTTAGAGGTTTATATCAAATCAAACGTATTGATCAAATTATAAAGTTGTTGAGCAGATTTACTTTTAACCAATTTAAGAGACTCACAAAAAGATTTCAGGTTATTTTTCCAATGAGATAAATTTGGATTCACCTTAAAAAATCTACATTTATGAATAAAGTACTTTCCTAGTAATATTATGTTATTAATTAAAAATTCTATTTTAGAGTTTTGAAAATAAACACCAAATTTTATTATTGTTAAAGTCAGATCAGGCAATTCAATTCCCTGGGTCTGAAGCCAACCCCACATACTTCTCCAAAAGTCTAGACTGACATTGCAGTTGAAAAAAAGATGATCTAAATCCTCCTCTTCATCATCACAAAATGTGCATCCAGCAGTATCAAACTTGAATCTAGATCTGATAAAAGCATTAGTTGGATAGATGTGATTTAGAATTTTAAAATGGACTTCCTTAAGTTTTGGAGGAAGTGGAAAAGAGATATATTTTGTCCTAATTCTAGAAATTATATCCATTTGAAAATCTTTAAGAATATAGTAACGTTTGATTTGGCCAGGATACAATTCTTTCTGTAAAACTCTCCTCATGAGCTTGTTTGTCATTGCTTTATCTCCAAAATTTATGTTTTCTATAAACAGTTGACTTAGATCAGGGGATACTTTGGAGTGAAACAAATCTTCTTTAACCATAGATTTAAGAGGTGTTGGTATTGCTTTTATCAGCTTGTTGTAAATCCTGACATCACACACAAGATTATATTTCAAACAAAATTCGTTAAACAACAAAATATCACCATTATCATTCATAAAGTGTGATATAGCCCAGATACCTTTAGAAAACAGGTTCTCTAAAAATAAAGATTTTCTATTACAAAAAACATATCTATTGTTCCAAACTGGAGTATTATGTGGAGTGAAATTGTGTTTGTAGAGGAGTTTCCAATAAAGCAGAACCTGTTGGTGAAAGTCTGACAGTTTGATGGGCAACTTATTATAATCAAAATCACATCTCAAAAGAAAATCTATTCCACCTACAGCTTGAAAAATATAATTAGGAATCACAAACCAAAAAGATTGTGAACTGTTACAAAATGATTTCAGCCAATTAAGTTTTAAAACGCCATTCATGGCATTAAAATCAATGACATTACTGCCACCTTCCTCATAGCTTTTAACTATATCTTCTTTTCTGATGTAATGACATTTGTTCTTCCATATAAAGTTAAAGTTGATTTTGTTTATGTCTCTAATAATGTGTGGAGGGACTGGCAGAGAACATGCTGGATAAATCAGTCTGGATAAACTCTCCGTTTTGGTTAGGAGGATTCTTCCAAATATGGTGATATCCCTTTGCAGCCAATTATTAAAAATTGATTTGCATTTTCCAATATTGCTCAAGATATTCTTCTCCTCAGATATTGCTCTATCTTTACAAATCAATATTCCTAAATATTTCACCTCTTTCTTTACTTTTATATTATATAGTGGCTGCAAAGGG